CATTACTAGAATTTCATATTCTAGCATTTTGTACAGTGACCATTACTGACTAGACATGTGCATGCTGGAAATTTTCACTTTGTTTCAGATGCATTTATTCATTTTGTTTCGTCATATTTGTTATGTTGACCCGATTTGTTTTCTGGAATTCACTTCACTTATTTAACATTCATTTCGTATATTCGTTGGTATGGGTGAATTCAAAAAATTTTCAAATACTTACGGAAAATCGATATATTTTCAATATATTATTGAATCGGACAGATTTGAATCAGGATTCCATATTTTTGGACACTAGTGCAACCCACCTAGAGAAATGGAATGAGCTGATTGGACAATATTAACATAAAAATAGTGCAGCGCTAAAAGTAGTGACAATAAGACAAATAAAAGTCCACTAAAAGTCTTGGTCATATGGACGTGTCCAGTGACAAATGAGGATTCAGAATTGGTGATCCGTGTGGAAACGGCTGAAAAACGCACTCACCAGAAGTAAGACACATAAACGCAGTGTGCATCTAGAGCTCATGGATCCTCAATCCAGAGGGGAGTAAAGCTGGTCCGGTTACAGGAATGGTGAATCCCTCCTCTGTGGATGCAGCAACAGATCCTCCTTCTCTCGATTAGGTGTAGAATTCCAAGATCAAGATTCTGCAAGCAAAAGCTCCTTAAGAGCAGCTCATTGGCTCCCCAACTATCTTAATTTGCATTAAGCAGATCTAGTGTTCTGATTTGCCGATGCTCTGTCTTACGCAACTCTACTCACACTTTGGCGTCACACGTTTGGCGGCACGTGACGCCAAAGTGTGAGTAGAGTTGCGTAAGACAGAGCATCGGCAAATCAGAACACTAGATCTGCTTAATGCAAATTAAGATAGTTGGGGAGCCAATGAGCTGCTCTTAAGGAGCTTTTGCTTGCAGAATCTTGATCTTGGAATTCTACACCTAATCGAGAGAAGGAGGATCTGTTGCTGCATCCACAGAGGAGGGATTCACCATTCCTGTAACCGGACCAGCTTTACTCCCCTCTGGATTGAGGATCCATGAGCTCTAGATGCACACTGCGTTTATGTGTCTTACTTCTGGTGAGTGCGTTTTTCAGCCGTTTCCACACGGATCACCAATTCTGAATCCTCATTTGTCACTGGACACGTCCATATGACCAAGACTTTTAGTGGACTTTTATTTGTCTTATTGTCACTACTTTTAGCGCTGCACTATTTTTATGTTATTTCATTTAAGTTTATATTGGTTGCTTAGAGTGCTCAGCCGCTTTCAGGATTAGCGCTCACTGCTGTTTTTTTTCTATATAATTGGACAATATTGACTAGCATCATGTGCATCTGAATTTACAAATGGCATGAAATTCGGATCTATTTGTTATCCAAATCAGAATTATTGAACACATTAGAAAATGTAATTTATTTAGCCATAGGCCCAAACTACTATTGCATCATGTGACGTCCTACGAATGAAATAAATGAGTAAAATGCATTTCTTAATTTCGTTATAACTTTTTTTTTATTCATTGACATTCATTTTTATGTCCATTCAGAGATTCTTATACAGTGGGGATCGAAAGTTTGGGCACCCCAGCTAAACATTTTTATTAATGTGCATAAAGAAGCCAAGGAAAGATGGAAAAATCTCCAAAAGGCATCAAATTACAAATTAGACATTCTTATAATATGTCAACAAAAGTTAGATTTTATTTCCATCATTTACACTTTCAAAATAACAGAAAACAAAAAATTGGCGTCTGCAAAAGTTTGGGCACCCTGCAGAGTTAATATCTTGTACTGCCCCCTTTGGCAAGTATCACAGCTTGTAGCCAGCCAAGAGTCTTTCAATTCTTGTTTGAGGTATCTTTGCCCTTTCTTCCTTACAAAAGTCTTCCAGTTCTTTGAGATTTCTGGGCTGTCTGTCACGCACTGCTCTTTTAAGGTCTATCCATAGATTTTCAATTATGTTGAGGTCAGGAGATTGTGAAGGCCATGGCAAAACCTTCAGTTTTTGCCTCTTGATGTAATCCCCTGTGGATTTCGAGGTGTGTTTAGGATCATTATCCATTTGTAGAAGCCATCCTCTCTTTAACTTCAGCTTTTTCACAGATGGCATCAAGTTACCATCCAAAATTTGCTGAAATTTTATTGAATCCATTTTTCCATCTTTCCTTGGCTTCTTTATGCACATTAATACAAATTTTTAGCTGGGGTGCCCAAACTTTCGATCCCCACTGTACATCTCAATCTCCAAAAATGAAATTTTCATTCTGAAAAATGATTCAAAACAAAGCAAAACACACATCTATTAATGACACAACCACTGATGTTATAAAAATCTAAAGATTATTCACTGCCCAGAAACTAAACTCCACAGGACCTATTTGACACCTATTGTTGAACCCCAAAGTAGCTTAGCAAAATTGTCACCTGTGTGAAGGCATATTAGTTTAATGCTGATGATGAAAGCAATTGTTAATTTGGTGGTTGAGCCTACCTAGTTTCTCTGCTGCTTAGTAAAACTTTTCAGCCATCTGTAATAACAAGTGCAAATTAAAGTAATCACACCCTGGGGAGATTTACTAAACTAGTATAACGTACTGGAATACAATAACGTAGTGTCATAATAAAAGCATTTGTAAAACAAAGCAATAATATTTATTAAGGTATTAAAGGGGGGGTATTTACTAAAACTGGTGTACACAGAATCTGGTACAGCTGTGCATAGTAACCAATCAGCTTGTAGGTTTTATTGGAAGAGCTTAATTGAACAAGCTGAGGTTAGAAGCTGATTGGTTATGATGCATAGCTGCACCAGATTCTGTGTACACCTGTTTTAGTAAATATCCCCCCCCCCCCCCCTTTAATACCTTAATAAATATAATTGCTTTGTTTTACAAATGCTTTTATTATGACACCACGTTATTGTATTACAGTACATTATACTAGTTTAAAATGTTTTCTGAAGGGGGCATGGTTTGACCTCAGAGGAAGATGTTCGCTTAGACCCAGAGCTTCTGCCACCAGAGGAACACTATTGGCACTTTGAGAGGATACACCTGAACTAGACTTGGTCAGATTTTGGGGATGTCATCCTGCAGCTCTTCAGGCACCCACTCCCACTCTCCACGGGACTCTAACGGCAAGCTAAGCCTGAATATCCCTGAGATCTTCTGCTCGGAGACAAACAACATGGTGGCCTCAGCACAGAACCACTTACAATTAGCTACCACCCCCACTTCAGGATCACAGAGCTTGCCACACACCACTAACACTGCAGAAAGCTGGAGTCCACAGCAGCAACCTAGCCTAACTGACCTCCAAACCATAGCTGCCGATATCAAGAACACCTTGTCAGCTGACATTCAGGCACTGACAGGCCATATACAAAAGGCAGAGAGAACCACTGGGCTGCAAGGGGTAGTCATTTGACGAGTGGTTCAGACAGTGGATGCTCACACCCTCCAGCTTTGTGACATGCACCGCCACTTAGAAGACCTGGATAACCGAGGGAGGCGCCATAACCTGAGGCTCCAAGGCCTACCTAAATTGATAGATCAGGAACAACTCCTTCACACAGTAGCATCCATCTTCAATAATCTTTTAGACAGACCCCAAGCCACCTCCATAGAAACGGAGCGTATTCACTGAGTGCTGCGGCCAAAAGGTGGGGACCCAGACCCACCGAGGGATGTTGTCTGTTGTATAGTAAACTACCAGCTAAAGGAAGAGACTCTGTGTAAGGCTCGCAACAGAATACAGATATTCGTATCTTCCAGGACCTCTCAAGCATAACCCTCCAACACCGTTGAGACCCTCGGCCTTTATTGGATCAGCTCCGCACCAACGGCATTCACTACAGGTGGAAATTTCCCTTCTGCCTCACTGCCTCTACACAAGGTCACACAGCATCCCTCCGAGTCCCAGAAGATCTACAGGAATTTTGTGACACCCTGAATATCCCTAGGGTGGACGTGCCCAACTGGTATGCTGAATTCCACAACTCATCTTTTTAGAAGTACCCCAGCGAGGAAGGAACCCATAGAAGCTCAGGAACTGCGGCTCAGATGCCAACGCTCACTTCCAAGAAGCCACCCACAATCTAATCTCTCAGGCTCACAGCAAGGAGCAAGTCCTACTAAATCTCAAGATCATAGGAGAACCCACCGTGATCAGTAAAGCGTGGACACTTCCCTCAGGCTGAGTCAGATAAGTTACTGTTAGACCCCCTCAATTCTTTGTTTTTCTCTCATCTTACTACTCCCCTACAAACCTGACCAGAACCTTATCTCTCCATGAGGTACATCAGCTTTACTCAACCCCTGTAATCTCTCATAGAACATTTCAGCACCATTAACCCCTATATCACATCTCTTTGCTAAGAACGATTCCCCTTTGATGACCTGAAGTCTTCAACACCTTCTGGCTCCACTACCCTCCATCAGCCCCTGTGTTAGATCACACACATACCTATTGACCCTATGAAGTCTAACAAACTATGTCAATACTGAATGTTTCTTCTATCTGAGGAACTCATACCCTTCCAAGGAAATGCTCCCTCTCTTCCTCCCAATCCCGCCAGTTTGCCCTACATCTGGCTTTCTGACCCATCCTAAATATTTGCTTAATGTCTTGATACTAACCATACTGTGCCTTTTAAAATCGCTGGTCAATGACTTGATATGTAGCTCTCATGGATATATACCTCCATTCAGCCTTATCCTTTTTGAACATGCCTTACAGACTACATGCTTATGGGTCCTTACTGACACATAACTATACCCAGGGGTTTCACCCCCCTCAGACTGTACCAACCAAAATTATTTCTCATTCAAATAAATCTCTGACAGTTACACCAAACAAATCCAGCTGTAGAAAGGGATTGCTACCACCCTCCATAAAGTAGCATATGGTTTCCTCTACTAGGCTACATACTGTATCCTGATTATCACTATACTGCTACTGGTGCACTTGGCTATACAAATATATAGGCACAAGATCTCTACCACCACCAATTGCTTAAAGGCTAGATTTCAGGGAATCACAGCTGATCACATGTAAACAGGGAAATGCCGGTTATCAGCTTTTCTCTCCTCTCAAGCTGTCACGCTGACAGCTCGAGAGGAGAGGAGAGCCAGTTATCGGAATTCCGCGGAGGGGACAGGTACACTGATCATCATGGCACTGATGATCAGTGTGCCCTGATGATCAGTGTGGCCCCAGAAGTGCCACCAGTCAGTGTCCATCAGTGCCAGCTGTCAGTGCTGAACAGTGCCACCTGCCAGTGCCCATCAGTGCCACATCAATGCCACATATCAGTGCCTACCAGTGCACATCAGTGCCCATCTGAGCTGCCTTTCAGTGTCACCCATCAGTGCCAGTCAGTACCACCTATCAATGCCAATCAGTGCCGCCTATCAGTGCCAGTCAGTGCCGCCTATCAGTGCCAGTCAGTGCTGCCTTTCAGTGCCCATCAGTGATGCCTGTCAATGCCCATCAGTGCCACCTACCAGTGCCTCCTCATCAGTGCCCATCAGTGCCACCTATTAGTGTCCATCAGTGCATCTTATCACTGGACATCACTACAGCCTCATTAGCGCACATCAGTGAAGGAGAAAAATCACTTATTTACAAAATTTTATAACACAAACTAAGAAAAAACATTTTTTTTTCAAAATTTTCAGTGGTTTTTGGTTTGTTTAAGAAAAAATTAAAAACCCAGAGGTGATTAAATACCACCAAAATAAAGTTCTATCTGTCACAAAAAAAAATGATAAAAATTTCATATGGGTACAGTGTTGTATGACTGCACAATTGTCATTCAAAGTGTGATAGCGCTGAGAGCTGGAAAATGGCCTGGGCAGGAAGGGGGTATAAGTGCCCTGTAGGCTAGTGGTTAATCACCTCTGAGTTTTTTATTTTTTCTTAAACAAACCAAAAACCACTGAAAATGTTGAAAAAAAAAAAACGTTTTTTCATACAGTTGTGTCCAAAATTATTCAACCCCCACTGAAATTGAGTGTTTTGGCCAGTTTGACATTGCTTTTGATCATTCAGTCATCTTGCTTACATTTACATTAAAGAGGCACTTGTAGGTCAGACAAATATAACATAACAGTTATAATGAAATAACCACAAATGTCTTTTCTGTGCTCACAGCATTATCAGTTTTATTCAACCCCCAAGTGACATTCAATCTTAGTACTTAGTACAGCATCCTTTTACAGTTATAACAGCTTTTAAACGTGAAGCATAGCTTGACACAAGTGTCTTGCAGCGATCTACGGGTATCTTCGCCCATTCTTCATGGGCAAAGGCCTCCAGTTCAGTCACATTCTTAGGCTTGCGCACTGCAACTGCTTTCTTTAAGTCCCACCAGAGGTTCTCAATCGGATTTAAGTCTGGTGACTGCGATGGCCACTCCAAAATGTTCCAGCCTTTCCTCTGCAACCATGCTCTAGTGGACTTGGAGGTATGCTTGGGATCATTGTCCTGTTGAAAGGTCCAACGTCTCCCAAGCCTCAGGTGTGTGACGGACTGCATCACGTTTCCATCCAATATCTCCTGGTACTGAAGAGAATTCATGGTACCTTGCACACGCTGAAGCTTCCCTGTACCTGCAGAAGCAAAACAGCCCCAAAGCATGATTGACCCTCCACCATGCTTCACAGTAGGCAAGGTGTTCTTTTCATCATAGGCCTTGTTCTTCCTCCTCCAAACATAGCGTTGATCCATGGGCCCAAACAGTTCTAATTTTGTTTCATCAGTCCACAGAACACTATCCCACAACTTTTGTGGTTTGTCCACATGGCTTTTGGCATACTGCAGTCGACTCTTCTTATTCTTTGGAGACAGCAAGGGGGTACGCCTGGGAGTTCTGGCACGGAGGCCTTCATTACGCAGTGTGCGTCTTATTGTCTGGGCTGAAACTTCTGTACCCACATCTGACAAATCTTTTCTCAGTTCCTCAGCAGTCACACGGGGACTTCTCTCCACTCTACGCTTCAGGTAGCGCACAGCAGTCGAAGTCAGCATCTTCTTTCTGCCACGACCAGGTAGCGTTTCAACAGTGCCCTTTGCCTTGAATTTGCGAATGATGCTTCCTAAGGTGTCTCTTGGTATGTTTAACATCTTTGCAATCTTCTTATAGCCATTGCCCTTCCTGTGAAGAGAAATCACCTCTTCTCTTGTCTTCCTGGACCATTCTCTTGCCTTCACCATGTTTGTAACCACACCAGTAAATGTCTAGAAGGAGCTGAGTATCACAGTCATTTTAAAGCTGCCTAATTGGTGCTTATTATGCTTGATTGCTGCTCGGTGACATCCACAGGTGTTTTCAATACCTGATGGAAAGCACCTGTATGAACCTCTGTTCTTCAGAGTGGTAGTCTTTAAGGGGTTGAATAATTGTGGCAATGAAGAAACCACATAAGAACCATTTACTACTGTATTACATAAACAATTGATGTCATTTTAGTTGCATTTGGGTAGTTACAACGTCCTTGTAGGATTTGATTCTGAATACAATTCCAAATGTACACTATAGTCCCTAAACCCCTTTACAGCATTGGGGGTTGAATAATTTTGGACACAACTGTAGTTTTTGTTATAAAATTTTGTAAATAAGTGATTTTTCTCCTTCACTGAAGTGCGCTAATGAGGCTGCAGTGATTGGCACTGACAGGCTGCACTGATGGACACTGATAGGTGGCACTGATGGGCACTGATGAGGAGGCACCGGTAGGAGGTGGCACTGATGGGCATTGATAGACATCACTGATGGGCACTGAAAAGCAGCACTGAAAGGCAGCACTGATAGGCGGCACTGGTAGGCTGCACTGATAGGTGGCACTGATAGGCGGCACTGACTGGCACTGTTAGGTGGCACTGACTGGCACTGTTAGGTGGCACTGACTGGCACTGTTAGGCGGCACTGATAGGCAGCACTGACAGGCACTGATAGGTGGCACTGATGCACACTGATAGGCGGCACTGACTGGCACTGGTAGGTAGCACTGATAGGTGACACAGATAGGTGGTACTGATTGGCAGCACTGATAGGTGGCACTGATTGGCATTGATAGGTGGCACTGAGTGGCACTGATGGGTGACACTGAAAGGCAGCTCAGATAGGCACTGATATTTGGCATTGATGTGCACTGGTAGGCGGCATGGATGAGCACTGAGAGCTGGCACTGATGGACACTGACAGGTGGCACTGCTGGGGCTACACTGATCATCAGGGCACACTGATCATCAGTGCCCTGATGATGAGTGCACATGTCCCCTCCGAGGACTGCCGATTACCGTCTCTCCTCTCCTCACAATAACCGGCATTTCCCTGTTTACATGCAATCAGCTGTGATTGGACACAGCTGATCACATGACCGAGCTGACATCTTCGGCTCTTTCCGTGGATCAGTGATCCACTGTGTTCGAGGGACACAGCGCACCGCCGATCGCCGCGCTGCGCGCTCCTGGAGCCGCGCATGCGTGGTGAGAATGGGAGGACCTCATATGACGTCCTCCCAGAACGAGAGAACCACCTTGCATCCATCATTGAACTATATGGCGGGCGGGAGACGGTTAAATAGGTAGCATAGAAATGCACCTATGTGTCAGTGCACACTGGATATTAGCCTGGGCTTGTCTGCGTGCTGGTACACATGAACAAGCATTAGCTGCACAGGAATTAGTAGTAGCTGCATGGGAATTAGCATTAGCTGAAGAAGAATTAGCATTAGCTGCACTAGTTTCCTGACAAGGCCTTTTCCTTCCCCAATTTATCCTCCCCCTTTTAATATCTCCCTCTCCTCCCTCCCACCTCCCTTTCTCCCATTTCACCTTCTCCTCCCTCTTTCCTCCCTTCCTCTCCCTCCTCCCTTACCTCTCCCACTACCCTACTTTGGCATCCCTACAATTTGGCTCCTACTACACACTGCACTCTACAGTTACTAGTCAGAATTTATTTCCTAATGTGATGTCATACCAATTAACGCTTACAACCATTCCAGCACCTTGCTCCATGTTCCACAAGCTATGCTTTGATTGGGACGGCATTATTCAGCTCCGGAAACTCTTCATGTTATTCAGACCAACTGGTGTGACAAATTATAAAGATCTGTATTGCAACTGTTGTCATTGACAATCCTGAAGAACAAACCCTGGAAAACTGACAAATCTTTTTACCCCTCCTATATGTCTATTTGTGTACTCCTACGCTTAACATTGACAAGATCCATAGATTACTTAACCTTATGGTACATACATAGGTCACATCTCTTAACCCAGGGTCTTCCATAATGTTTTTGTATTTTGGCGTGAGGTAGATCACTCCTCCACAATATGTATACTGCACAAAAATAGTACCACGGCCATTCTTGAGGTTTTAGACTTGTACCCGGCACATAACTGAATTGGATGGGACCCTTATTATGCCTCTGCAATGACCCACACTACCTTGCTAAAACAAAAGCCAAGGCTGTCTCAATTACCATGGGCACACCGTGGACTCCCTCTGTATATATTGTATCTAAACTGTGTTTACACATTTTGGTATCCTTATCTATTAAAAATACTACTATGTGCAACCTTTATATTTGCATATATACTATGCATATAGTTGCTCTGATTGGCCAGGCGCACCATCTATTCTTTGATCTCCTTATCTACCCCCCATTCAATGGTGATTACTGCACCTGATACCATAATTATTTTTTTTTTATACGGTACTTCAACACCACTGACATCTCTCGGACATAACCATTTAGAGGTTATATAGTTATATAGTCACCAGGAGAGGTGAACAGACTCTCACTTGTCACCGGAACATCACACTTGGGCTGTATAGTCCACATCTTTATCTTTCCCTCTATCTCTCTCTTCTTTTGTACTAACACCTCCCCCCCCCCTTTTTTTTTCTTTTCCTTTCTCCCCTCATTCCCACACCCTCACCCTTCCAATCCTCCCCTTCTCCTTCCCCCCTCTTGCTCTAACAATAATTCACATTACCAACTCAACCAAAAGTACTACTGACTCGCATGGCAAATCCCCAATGCTTACATGACAAACTGTGACTAAAATTAACTTTGTTGAATGCTCGGGGCCTTAATATACCAGAAAAGAGGTTACAACTTCTGCTCTCTATGCGTAAGGCCAAAGCTGACATTATCTTCTTGCTGGAGACCCACTTTAGGTCTGACTTCATCCCCAAGCTTAGCAATTCTTCCTATCCCACAGTGTTTCACGCTACCAACGATGACTCAAAGTCTAAATGGGTATTCGTCCTCATTTCCAAAAATTGTCCTCTGTGCATCTCTGGGAGAGAAGGTACCTCTTTTTAAAAGGAGAACTCCATGGGAAGCATATCACATTGGCAAACATTTATGCCCCTAGAACTCTTTATACCATTTCATAGGGGTATTTTAATTTTAGGAGGCAATTTCAACCTCTCTATCCATCCATTTCTAGATACGTCAAATGGGATCTCCTCTCTCTCCTATAGAGCTTTGCGAGTTATCAAATCACAACTAAGAGAACTATTTCTACATGACACATGCCATACGTTACATCCCAAGGTTCGAGATTATACCTATTATTCAACTCCTCATCAAAGATACTCAAGGCTAGACTATTTCTTCCTTACACAAAAAGACCTCCCATTGTTGACATTGGCATCAATTGACCCTATGATTTTATCTGATCACCATCTCA